TCTTTCACTCCAAGCTTCGTATTTACGATTCTTCAGCATTTAAACGGCGTTGGGGGACCTTGTGCTCAGGAAATATTGAACGCAAAGCAGGTAGCTTGTTACCATGGTTTAGATATCGGGATAATGAAGATGGACGCCGAGGCAGACCAAGGCGCCCTGGCTGGGTGGATGGCTGGATGATACCCCGAATGAGGGTCTTTTAACGATGAAGCATGACACATTATCAATACGCTTTTTGTCTTGAATTGAAAACAATAACAGTTTGAGTCGCTCTCGTCATAGCTTGGTGAGATCTGAATGTGCTTTACAGTTCCATTCGCGGCACCTGACGACGCAAGTTCAAGTTCCTGTATATGTTTGGCGTAAGCGCTCGCGGAGCTTGACAGGTTTCACTCATTTGTTAAAGATTAAGGTGCCTAGATTATTTTCTCTTCATAAATTGGTTGGAAAAACCAATACTATGTCATTCGCTGCCTGTTCTCCTTTCTTGTGTGATCCAAGCTGTTGTCACTTTGTTGAACTCCGTCGACTCCTCATGCCCCCTTTTTTCCAGCGTGGTTGAGACGCACAGGGTTAGGGTTTCGCATGTCCAGTACCACTGTTAGCTGTCACAAAAATTGGGAGTCATCTCATCGACTCGAATTGTATTTGGCTGTGTAAATTTCCTCCGAGTTCTGCCTCATGAAGGGAATTACCAACTACCAAACCAAGAACGCCGCCAAAACTGACACTCAAAAACAAATATGCGAATGTAGAAGATCTGAATCAACATACTTGCCCATTCATTCTTTTCCCAATATTTCATTCTTTTTTCTTTCTTCCAACTACCTACTCGAGAGATACCTGGCTTCTCTCACAAACGAGATGCCCGTTTTATGACAAAATGGCCCAAAAGGTGCGAGTGTTCGCATACAGCACAATGTCCAGCAGCGCCCTGACTGACATGCAGGCTACCTAGAGAACCAACCACACAACTGCTCCTCGCACCCAGCTACAGCACAACTATGTCCAGAACCCCATAACGGCCCTCGCCTTCTACCATGCCGGCCCCGGCCGCGTCTTTCTCCTGGCAGGCGAGGACACCTGGCTCAAGGTCTACGACGTCGCCGGCACCCGCCTACTCGGCCAGCTTAAGATCTTTTCGTCCCAGCCAATCCACGGGCTTCATGTCTCGTCGGCAGAGGAGCCATCCGCGGGCGGCGGCCGGGGTGCCCGCCTTCTCGTCTGGGGCGCCCACTCTGTCGCGGTGCTGCCCGAGGCAGTCTTGCGGAGTCTCGTCGACGGCAACGGCAACGGAACCACGCCCACCGCGAAGCCAAGGGAGCTCAGGGCGCCCGACTGGATCTACGACGCAATTCTCTTTCCATCGCCGTCAGACGAAATCCAGGGTGTCCTGGTGACTGCGCATAACGAAATAGTGCCCATCCTGCGCGGGGGCCCGGCAGACGGGGACTCTCTCGTCTTTGGCCCGCTCACCTCTCCGTCCAGGCCGATCCTGTATTCGGCGAATCTCTGCCTGCTGTCTCCCGACACCGTGCTCGTCGCGGGCGGCACCGTCTTTGGCGAGATCATCGTCTGGATGTACTATCTGGACTCCACACGGCCAACCCAGTGGGAGGTGCTGTTTGTGTTTACCGGGCACGAAGGTTCCATCTTTGGGGTGTCGATATCGCCCGAGCTGGAGCTCGCACCCGGCGTCAAGGTTAGGTTGCTTGCGAGCTGCAGCGACGACAGGACCATACGTGTCTGGGACGTCACGGACCGGTCGCTTGCAATTGCTGACGGCGGCGCCCCGGTGGACGCCTCGTATGCGGAGGCCCGGGAGACTGGCTTCGGTGGGAACTCCGAGGTGAGGCTGGAGAATCGGAACGATGCGTCGCGGTGCTTGGCTGTGGCCATGGGCCATGTGTCCCGGATATGGCATGTCAAGTTCACGGGCCGTGGGAACCACCATACACCACGGGCCCGCCCCGTTGAGATTTATTCGTTTGGCGAGGACTGTTACAGGCAGAAATGGGAGCTGAGTCTCGATCTAGGGCGGTTGCAGAACCCGCTTGATTGCCACCAGGACAGCGCAGGAGCTTCCGTCGGGGCCCTGAAAAGCTGCGGTTCGATTTCCTGTCACAGTGGCAAGAATATCTGGTCATGTGCTGTTCTGGGCAGTGAAGATGGGCATCCCATCATCGCCACGGGCGGCGCGGATGGGAGGATAGCCATCTCGGGCGACGCCGCCCAGCGAAATTCTGACGATGCCGAGGCGCCAAGGCAAGAGGAGTACAGTGACGTTGACATGGATATCTCCCTCGATCAGGTTTTACGGTCAATCGGAGACACGGCGAATAACCAGAGCGCAGTAGCTGCGGGGCCGGACACTCGGCCCAGAAAGGGGCTGAAGGACGCTTTCTTCCTGCGGTATTCGTTCCTGTCAGAGCAGACTGTGCTCGCCACATCCTCGTCCGGTAGACTCCTCCTCGGCACTGTTGGCGACTCCATCCTGTGGCGGGACGTCGCGCTCCCCGACACCGCTGTCGCTGATTTAAAGTCCTACAACATTGTCAAAAGCCCGGTACAGCGCACGGCGGTCCTGGGCAGCGCAAGCGGGCAGCTTTATCTCTTCCAAGACTCGCGGCAAGGGGTCCGGGCAATAACAAAGGTCCCGGGCAAGATCTCGGATATCATTTGTGTTCGGGATCCAGCACAGGATGATGAGGGCCCACCGCGCACATGGACAGCCATTGTCACGGCAATGAGCGTCGGTTTCGCAACGATGCTGACGTTCGACACTGCTACGGGGGACCTGGCTGACGACCAGCCGCAGATACAGCTCCCTCCCGGCCTGATCGTGACCGCCGCGGCCTTTTGCGGAGGCTCCCTTGTCCTCGGGTCGCGGGTAGGCCACATATCCATCTACAGGGTTTCCACGGCGAACTGCTTCACGCCCGTGGTCTCCCGCAAAGACTGCAAGGCCAAAGACGCAATCACCTGCATCGTCCCTCTGCCAGGGAGCCCAGACTGCTTCCTCACCGGGTGCAGGGACGGCAGATACCGCATCTACACCATCGGGGGGCCATCATCCGGGCCCGAACCCACTACGCTGCACCTGCAGCACGAGATCGCACCGCCGCTGGGCATGATCGAGGGCGCCTGGTTCACCAAGCCGGACAACGGCGACGACATCGAGCTCATCCTCCACGGCTTCCGCGGCAACAACTTTGTCATCTGGAACGAGACCTCGCGGCAGGAGCTGGCGACGGTCGAGTGCGGCGGCGCCCACCGGCCGTTCGACTACGTCTCGCCTGCGGCGGACCCGGGGCAGATCCGGCTTATTTTCACCAAGGCCGCGCAGCTGAGGTTCTACTCGCAGCGCCGGCCCGTGCTGAAGACACTCAAGGAGGGCGGGCACGGGCGCGAGATGCGCGCCGTGGCCGCGTGCGGCACCTACATCGCCACCGCCGCCGAGGACACCACGGTGCGCATCTGGCAGCACCGCGACAGCCCAGCAGACCGCCCCATCGCCCGAGGGTTCAAATGCCTGGCCATCCTCGAGAAGCACTCGGCCGGGATCCAGTGCCTGCGCTGGCTCGGCACCGACTACCTGCTCAGCAGCGCCGGCGGCGAGGAGCTGTACATCTGGCGCGTCACGCGGCTCGCGTCCGACTACGCCGCCCTCGCCGTCGTGTGCGAGGCCGCCTACCCCGACCGCACGGCAGACGGCGACCTGCGCATCCTGGACTTTGACGTGGCGCCGTGGGCTGCGGCGGACGACGACGGCGACCCGGGCGTCATGGTCATCTCGCTCGTGCTGTCCAACTCGACCTTCAAGACCTACCTGTACTCCCCGCCGTCCCAGCAGCCGCGCGGGTTCCAGCTCCTCGCCGCCGGGCACTACACCGGCGCGTGTCTGACGCAGATTCGCCATCTGCGGGTCAGCGCGGATGAGGTGCATGTCCTGACGGCGTCGACGGATGGGCACCTTGTCGTGTGGACTGCAGCTGTGGACGCTGAGTCGGAGTCGGGTCACAGCTATGGCAACTTCTCTATCGCGGCCGTCACTAAGCTCCACCAGAGCACCGTCAAGTGCCTTGATCTATTCCCGTACCCCGGCGCCGAGAATGATGATACTCCGTGCAGATGGATGGTCGTCACAGGCGGCGACGACAGCGCGCTCGGGTTCCTCGATCTCGCGTTCACCCCTGCCGAGAGCGGGAGCGGGAGCGGAGGCGTGTTCAGTGTTGTGAACAAGGCGCGAGTCAGGGACGCGCACGCTGCGGCAGTTACGGGGGTCCGGTTTGTGATCGACGGAAGCAGCAGCGGGGATAGCGATAGGGAGAGTGGTGATGCGCTTTTGGATATCGCGACGGTTAGCAACGACCAGCGGGTCAAGCTGTGGAGGGTCGAGACGCGAGGAGGCCTGAAACCCCCGAAGGTGTCGCTGCTCAGCAACCAGTACAGCTCGGTCGCGGACCCGGGAGACTTGGAGGTTATTGCGCGTGGGAGGTTGATGGTCGGAGGTGTGGGCGCCGAGGTGTGGGATGTGTCGAGGCGGGATGGCGTTTTGGTCAAGGGGGAGTAAAGGGGTCGGTTGTATTTGGAGCCTTGGTAAAGCCGTGATACAGTGGATGAACTCGATGACAGGTGCTTGTATAAGATGTCGATACCGCCCTAATACCTTTGTTTTCCTTCATGTACGTGGTGAACATGACTTGGACATATCTGGTGTCTTCGAGTTACCACAGGTACCTATCGAGTTTCCCTTGAAGCCAGTGTGTAAGCTGGAACAAGAAGGTGACGGTAAACAATTCGTTGTGAGGTGTTGATATCCTTTCTCACTCATGATGGATATGACAAAAATGAATAGGGCTCTTGTCACCACTGACGAGATACCTAGGTACGTGAGTATCAAGCTAGCCTTCACCCGTTGACATAAAGATGACAGAAAAGAAATACAAGAAATGAAAGCCTAGATAGAGTCAAGGGGAGTTCATCAAAAATGGCAAAACTGATCGCGGCAGGGCTCGAACCTGCGATCCCTTGCGATATCACTTTGGAAAAGCTGTAAAGCAAGTGCCTTAACCACTGGGCCACGCGACCGTCTATTTTTAGATGTAGAAGCAGGCGAGATTCGCTACCAATGTCCCACCCGGAACGAGCGACCTTGCTTGAGCGACCACTGGTCTTGCCAATCGATTTAATCCATAGGCGAGATCGCCCGTACCGCAGGTATGCACCTATTGAGATCGATATGTTTGTATGGATTATCTAGATAATAAATGCGTTGGGCTGTCTGGTCGACTGACTGCTCGGCAGATCTTCATTTCGTTCTTTTGTTGTTCTGTCTCGAACAGGTGAAGCGACTCTACGATGCCGACTGAGTAAAATGTCAGGCCGTATTTTTTTGGCAAGACCGCTGGGTGCAAGCCCCCTGCTGCCGGAGCTGAATGTTGGGTCAGCAGAGGCTAGCTCCACGAGGCTTGCTGCTCCGCAGGTGGGCCCTCGACGACAACATTGGAAGCTCTCCGACCTTGAGCTATTGCAGGGCATCCACCTTACCTACCTCCCCCCCTTAGGTCATACGCTCTCAACCAAGCCTTTAGCCTACCATGAAGCATATCCAGGCTGTCAGTGCAGCTGCATGCAAAGCTCTTCCACGGTTTGTCCAGCTCCAATGGCACATATTTGTGGCGCAAAACCGCCAGGAAACAGACGAATCCTAACTGCGGCCGCATCTTCTCGATCCATCTAGCACCACCATGACCACCACCACACTCCCGGTCCTTACCCGCCGAATAGTCGCCTGCTTTCCCCTGGGAGCACCCCAAGTCACCCGCCTTCGCCTGGCAGCCTCCTCCTCCTTCGAAATCTGCAGAGCCAGGCCCTTTTCGCAGACCGCCCAGCTCTACAGGAAGAAGCAGAAGGCGAGCCCCAGTCCGCCCTCACGGGGTACAGCGAACAGCAGCAAAGATGCATCCACCAACACCAGCACCAGCACCACCACCACCTCCTCCTCCTCCTCCTCAACGCCAGCGGACCCCAACCGGCCAGTGCCCGACCCGACCACGCCGCTCGAGCTCGCAGACCTGATCTACGGCTTCGACAAGGCAGACAAGCAGCACACAGAGGCGCTCAAGGCGCTGCGGTCGGGCGCGCGCTTCAACCCGGAGGCGATCGGGGCGATCCCCGTGGTACCGGACCGCAAGACGGCGGAGGCGTTCCCGCTGCGGGAGCTGGCGACGGTGGCGCCGCTGGGCGGGCGGCGGTGGAGCATCCTGGCCTTCGAGGCGGCGTCGGTCAAGCCCATCATGAGCGCGATCCAGAACAGCGACGCCTTCAACCAGCAGCCGCAGCGCAGCGACGACAACGAGCTCGAGCTGGTCATCACCGTCGAGCCCGAGCGCGCCGACGCCCTGGCCAAGCGCGCCAAGGACGTCTGCCAGGCCTGGCGCAACGGCATCCGCGCCGAGTCCCACAAGCGCGACACCCTGGCCAAGAAGTGGCGCGCCGATGGGCTCATCCTCGCCGACGACCTGCGCATGGTCAAGGACAAAGTCCAGAAGGCCCAGGACGACCGCATGAAGGTCATTGCCCAGGCGGAGAAGGAGGCCTTGCACCAGATCGCCGCGCGGGCCGGCTAGAAAGGACCGCACGAGGAAGCTCATGGCAGCGGCCAGCGGGCGGGGACTGTATGATAATATATTCGCATTGCATTGTCTTGATACATGTATATGGATGGATGGATGCCTCTCTATATGCACGTAGAATATCTATGAACGAACAATGGGTGGTTTAGACAAAGTGTAGTGTTACATATTCCGGGTTTCCCGTGAGATTATTTTTCGGAAACCTTTTTCTCCGCTTGCCCCCTCCCTCCCTCTTCCCTCGAGCCTCTCGTGTCTGTCTTACGCAGCCTTCTTTGCCTGAGCAGCCGGCTTGGAAGCTTTGGCGGCCGTGGCAGCAGGCAGCAGCGACTTGACCTTGTCCATGAATGCCTTGGACTCCCACTTGTGGTACGAGACATCCCGCGCGTGGAAGCTGGCCATTGTCCCGAGAACGTCACCGATGGGTGCGAACTTGGGCGCCTCGTACTTGCCCAAGATGGCCGTGTCCACAATCACCTTCTTGGTCGCCTCCTCGGGCGCCGCGATCTTGAAGCCCTGTCTGCTGTGCTCGAGGAATACCTTCTCCTCGGGGGTGTTGAAGAACAGCGGCTTCTTCTCGTGGTAGTACCGCTTGACCGCCTCCCTGGGGTCGGCTGTGACGCCCGTGGTAGAATCGAACGGCCTGCCGCCGCCGAGCACCCGCATGTTGCGCATTGCCGTCTCGACATTGCCCAGCGCCGCGTCCGTCGCGAGTGCCGGCCCGTACCCGACCAGGGACTCGAGGGTCACTGAGGGCGTGTATTCCGTCACGACGCCCTGCTCGAGCCGGTCGTGCACTGCCTGCTCCTCGGGCGACCACACGAGCTTCTTGGGCACTTCAGGTCCAGACCCATCCTTGGCTCCTCCCCTCTTTGCGCCGCCACGGCCGCGCCCGCGTCCGCGCCCACCGCGAGCATTACCACGGCCCCGAGCTCCGCCCTCTCTAGCTCCCACGCCGGCTCCGGCTCCCGCGCTGCCTCCGCCTCTGGCTCGGAATCCAACGCCTGGCCTGGGTGTCACGCCGAATCCGGATCCTCCTCTACCCCGTGTACCAAAAGACGAGCCGCTGCCGCCGGCGGCGCCGGCCTGGAACGGGAAGCGCCGCGGCGGTCGGTCGCCCAAGGGAGCGCCGGAGCCGCCGCCTCTTTCTCTCAGGCTGCGGAGGTTGTTGATTCTGGGCGAAGCGACAAGGAGCTTGTTGAATGGCTTGGCGGCGAGCGAGCGGGCGTCGACGCCGCCGCCGGGAGTTCCTGACGGAGCGGAGGGTGTCCTCGACTGGCTGAGCTGGCCTAGCTTGGAGGCGACGGCTTCGGATCGTTCGCGGCTGCTGGCCGGGCGCTGCGGCTGGTCATCGAAGAGGGCCGTCGAGGTGGAGAGCTGTCGGCTGTCGCGGCGGGCTGCTCCCGCTCGTGTGCACTGGGAGCCGCCGCGCCCGAAGGCCGTGTGGATGACCCGTCGGTTCATTGGTGGGTGGTTGTGGGTGTTTTTTTTTGGTGTTGGTGGTGGTTGGAGGAGGCAGACCTCACTCACATTGGCGAAACCACGGGGAAATGCTGGATGTGAAATGAATCCAGGCACGGCACGCAGGCAGATGGATGCACCACGCCCGCTTCGACTCGACCTTGGGAAGTTGCGAGACGAAATTGTTCGGCGCGTCTTGATTGGGCAATGCCGGAACCCAAGGTGGGCCTGATCTGCGCAGCTTCCCTTGGCCCTTGCTAACGCATGGCGGCCGTAAGTTATGGAAGGGACAAGGGGCTAAGGCCGATGCACGGTAGCGGATCATTCACCTATCCGCCATACCCAATCAGCATCCTCGATTCTACAGTTCACAGCGGTGGTTAGGCGGTGAAGCTCCAGGCACTGGAACGGACTGGACTGGACCGAGGAGGGGTCGTCATCAACCATTGTTCCATTCGGCCATCTTTCGGGAGCTCGCTCGCGTCTCGTCCAAAGCGTTCGCGACTGGAACTTTGGGAATATTTCGTTTCCCCAGGCGCATCCATTGAGCCTCAACCTCGACCATCACCGAGCCCGCCGCCAGCCCATCAATTCTGGGCAGCCATTCAAGGGCAGGGCCTCACTTCAAATTCCTATCCGCGTCACCAAACCGGAAGCTCAAGCAGATAATTCATTACAACACTCCGTCGCATTGGAAGCTTTCCCTGCGCCACGGAACAGATTGAGCTGCAGTCCGCTCTGCTTCGCTCGTGCACGCCGCACCGAGCCATCTCTCTCTCTCTCTGTCGAATTTACCACCACCACCACCCGACATCTCGACACAACCCACCCCACCTCACCACCCAACATGTCATCCGCCGCCACCCAGCCCGCACCACAGGTGAACGGCGTCGCCTCAACCGCCGCCACCACCACCTCCCAACCCGCGACCACCACCACCACCACCAGCGCGCAACCCAGCCAGCCCTCGCAACCGCCCTCACAACAAACCACCCTCGTCGCGCAGTCCCAATCGCAGCCGCAGTCCCAACAACAACAACCGCCGCAACCACACCACCCGCAACCGCCCACGTCCCCCTCGGCCGCGGCGCCCCGCCCGCGCGACGCCCGCACAATCGAGCTCCTCCTGACCGCGCAGGGCGTGACAGCCTTCGAGCAGCGCGTGCCGCTGCTCCTGCTCGACTTTGCCTACCGGCACACATCAGCGGTGCTCAGCGACGCGCTGCACCTGTCGGCGGATCCGTACACGTCGCACGCCGGGGCGCGGCCGTCGGCGGCCAGCGGCGCGGCGCCGGTCAACGTGGGCGACGCGACGGTCAGCGCCAACGCGGTGCAGCTGGCCATCTCGAGCCGGCTGGGCTTCCAGTTTCGCGGCGGCAGCGGCGGCGGCGGCCCCAGCAAGGAGTGGCTGATGGACCTGGCCCGCCAGACCAACCGCACCATGCTGCCGCGCATCATGACCAACGAGTGGGGCGTGCGCCTGCCCGCCGAGCGCTTCGTCCTCAACGGCCTGAGCTGGGGCCTGCGGGACGCCTGGGCCGGCCAGGACGGCGCCGACGACGACAGCAGCGACGAGGACGAGGATATGGACGACGGCGACGCCGCCGCCGCGGATGCCATGCAGGGCGTCGAGATCGAGGACATTGGCGGCGATGGCGTCGAGGGCGGGACGATGGATGACGTCTTTGGGGACGAGCAGCTGGATGAGGACGAGGATCAGGAGATGGTGGAGGTGTGAAGCACACACAGGCTTCGGTCGAGCCTATTCTAGTTGTTTGTTTTTATGGAGAAAAGGGGGGTTAGTTTGGCGATTTGCATCACCTTGCTGGTCGGTGGCCACTGTGGTTTCTATAGCTCCGCGAGCCTTCAAGGTTGGGGGAGGTGGGGGGAGCATCGTTGCTAGTTTACGGAGTCGGCGTACGGCGTTCAGGAGGAATTTCTCTCCGCAACATATATCCCGAGGGAAATAGGGCAGCAAAGTCCCCTGATGTAGGT